AGTGTCTGGTTGTTCCAGAATGTGAAAGACCGTAAAGAACAAGTGTTGATGGAAATTTAAAAATTGTAGATTTGCAGAAATGGAACTTCATTTGACTTGATTTGTAATACAAGCAAATGGTTAAGTCTATGAAGATGTAATCAAAATTTTGGCAAAGGTTGTACAACTTTGATGGGTTTATTTATTAAGAGATTTTTAAAAATATAATACATGACAAGTACCCTATTAATGTAAAGCTAAAATTCAGTTATCTCTATTGAAATTAAATTAATAACCAAAGATGCAGAAGAATAAGAATTAATTACCTGGAACTGACTGAACTGATATAGAAAATCTAATTCCTAAATGTGGATATGTGTTTTGGGAAATCACTGGTATTATTTTTAATGTTCTATTTGCAGTGGGGAGAACTCTTTAGCATTCATGTTGATCTGTCTCTAACTTTCAATTTCGTTAACTCTGACTTTGCAAACTAAATGAAACATCCTTTTAATGGTAGCTTGTTCTGCTTGGTCTCTCAGAATTTAGGATGAAATATATATATTTTTAAGACACTTGACTTTTTAATGGCAATAGCATTACTTGCACAGGCTCAGTAAGAATCTGTCCTCTTTTTTATTTTACTAGGATGTAATCAAACAATAAGACTATGCAACAGAGGCCAAACCTAGAGTGTCATATATTAAAATAAGCCTCATTTCATCAGAGATGACAAGCCTTTAGTAAGGAAAAAGAGTTATAACTTCATATTTGCTGCCTATACCCACAAAGCTCTCCAAAGAAGTTAAATGAGGACCTGACGGTGGCTTACAGGGCTCTGATTTTACAGGCAGTAATGTCAGTTCCTGGATCGCCAGGAACCTTAGCAGATTTGGGGACAGAGAAATTCACCAACACATATAAGTGCTAATGATGAAACCCAGTAGAGATGAGTTTTGAGTCTGATCTCCTATCTTTAGAACAAAAGAGTAAATAAGAGTATTTGAGGAGGATCACTGTTGTGATGGAAGCCATTGAAATGAATTTCTTAGATTCCTTAATAAGTGATCAGATAAAAGTTAATTCTCTGACTTCATAGTTGTTCAGCACAGCATAGCGCTAGATTTGCTATCCATATACAAGAAGACTTTTATATGCTAATTAAAACTTCTTCTGAACTTATGCCAATGAATTGAGCCCAAATACAATGTCTTTTGTAACCATGAAAAATCTCTGGAGATTATGGTAACGAAGGAAACTGTCATACTGGAGTGCCATCTAACAGACCCACCCAAGAAATATCTAAGACCCACCTAAGAAATATCTAATATCTCTCTAAGGGTACACAAATTTGTTTTCACTATTAATAATTAGGATATTTGGAAACTCTATAAGAATAGACATTAACTTATCAAAACCTGTGATACAAATGATTTTTTTTCTAAAATGTCAAACAAATTTTGTCATGTATTGATGCAAATGGTTTCTATCCATTATAATCCAAAGGTTACCATTGTATTGTTCCATAGGGCATTAACTAGTTTGGTATGTGATTCAGAAATCTTATTCCAGCAAATTTTCGTTTAGTAATTAAAATACTTTTGATACTCCTGTACATATGTAAACCAGCTTTACCATCCCGTGGCTTTCCACATTAAGAAAATACATAATTCATCATTAATGAATCAAAATAATCTCTGACACCTTTTATCCTAAAAACAAAAACAAAACAGAACAAATAAAAATAAAATAAAACAAAAGAGATTAGAAAAATGCAGTAGTTTGGAGTTACTCTATGTACTACTAAGGGAATATGAAATAAGTGTGTGGGTGTAGAGTGCAGAAAAAATGTTGAGCACCATGTAGCCTACCTTTTAACTTTCCAGACAACTTGCTGTACAGAAAAACTTACTGTCTAATTCCCAATGCATCATGATTTCACTGATTATTTCTATCATACCACAAACATGCAAATTTGATTATAAGTAACACAAATCAGTGTTTCCTCATAGCCTTAAAGAAAGGGTTTGTGAGACTTACAAGAAATTCAGTAAAATTCACAATTACTTTTGTTAGGTTTACCAAAAATTTGTATTTGTGAGAACTCTGCAGAGCAACTTAACATGACATTAGGCACATGTGGACCTTCAAAATGCCCACAGGTGACTAATAACAGTGATCTGGGAAGAGGAAGGATAGCAGGAAAAACTCTGTGAAGGGACAGCAGGGGCTGGTGCACCTGGAAATTCTACATGCCCACATAAATCCTTGGAGTTTGTCTCCAAGAAGCTGTTCAGTGAAACAGTGAGGTCAAGTCAGATGAAGAAGATTACCAATCGCTCCATCTCCTGCTCCCTGAGTCTCTCCTCCCTCTGCCGCCGGTGATAATCCATCAGGTCATCGCGTCCTGAAATGGAACTAATGCTGCTTTTCCGTTCCCGAAAGACAGGCTGGGGAGTTCCTGAGGCCTGTCTGAGGCTGTCCAAATCTGCATCATCCAACTCGATAGATCCACAAGAGAAGTTCCTCCTGGCCATAAACACTCTGTCTGGCTCTCCGGGAGGAAATGAATGACCTGAGCTGGTCCCCGAGAAGGAAGCCCTATCAAGGTCATCAGAGGTACAGGAAGAGGAGGAGGCCAGAAGCATCTTCCGAGCCATTCGAGGACTGCCAGGGACACTGAGGGTGGAACTTACATAAGAATTGCCCTCAGACGCAGATATTTTATAAGGTAAAGCCCCTGAGCTCAAAGAAGAAAAATTCAGGTAATTGTCATTGTCTATTATACTATGAGGTAGATCCTTTTCCCCAAGTTTTGTTCTTTTGGAATTGCCCAGAGAGCTTCTTGGAGGCAAACTGAGAGGCGTCAGCTGGTTCTCTGTGGCCTTGTGCAACCTGGGGAGCGATCGGCTATAGGCTCCCATGTGACTTAGGCTGCTGCCTGAATACTTCCTAGTTCTTAAGCCGATGCTTTCAGATGTTGGCTCCTTATGTCTGCTCATCTTGGCCTGAAGCGTCAAGTTGTCCTGGATACTCATTTTCCTGGCTTGCTTAGGGCTAGAAGGCATGCTCGCAGCCCCAGATCTGCTGATGGGAGAGGAGCCGGTGTCACTTCCATTCCACATGGCCAGGAGTGAGCCAGACGCCTTTCGGCCTTCTAGCCCTCCAAGAAAGTAGACATTATCATGGGATTTATTCCTTGAGCTATATTTGGAATAGGGAGGCTTCTCTGAGAGTCTCAAGGACCTTTCACTATCCCGGCCAGTATAGTGATCA